GAGGTTATTACGAGGATACCTCAAAGTATGCACGATGAAATACCTCGTAAAATACCGCATACTTACGGCACACTGTAACTTATGGCGTTACGGTGACAGATGTATACTTGTAATGCAATTTTTTTATGAAATTGACATTTTACTAGACGTAAGCTCCATATGGCAGTGCTTCTTACGACTCGTTATCATTATACATTATATCACGTGATATGACAGCTTGATCGGCGATTCTTATATATTTGTGATTATTTCAAGATGATTGTGAAATTGGATTATGAGTTATCATTAATGTCACTTTCGCAGCAATGAAAGCACTAACACGCATGCGCAGCGATAGTTAGTGTACGTACCAAAAAACAGTACACATGTTAAGATTTAATCGAGCGAATATTTAGCCGTGTGCTACACGGATAATGTGTTAGTTCAAGATAATTCATAGTCCAATAATCATCGACACACAGTATAACAATCAACTATACATCCCGAGTTTTCCGGTGGGCTTGGAGAGTAATTTATCAAGGACATAAGCACACCTCCTTGCTTTTTTTCTCTCTCGTAAGGTTATTTCGTCCATCGTGAAGAAGGGGAAGCACAACACCGGGGAGTAAAGTACAAGTCTATACCAAACCCCGGTGATCTCCTCAAGGTGCTCGCCATCTTGAATGTGCCGTCGTGAGATCCGACTTTCCGTCTTTCTCAACCATTTTCGAACAATTCCCAATAAGCATGTCGAATTAGTTTGGGGACGTACTGCCATACAGCTGTGGTTCGGTCCGATATGGGTATGGCTTAGTGATCCCCTCACGACGGACGAAATAAAATTACGGACACTCAAGAGAAGTACATCTAAGCACTACATCCACACCTTAGACTAATAACAATGCGTTCGAGAATCAATCAGACATGGACAGATGACGTCAGTGTACCAGTTTGATAGGTGATTTTCTGTTCAACTGCGAGATCTCGCGAGATGCATGAAAGACGCGCGTCGAACGTCTGCCGCAAAAATCGAACGATTTGAATTTTGAACTCGAATTTCTTTATTTCGTAGCTCACATCGACCGGCCAATCTTCGACAGAGGAATCGAAATTGTCTATCATCAAATGTGTACAGCAAATTATTAAGCATGGATATGCCCCCAAAATATTTTCGCGTTTGTCGAATCCCACGCGATGTTTGACGCCACTACCACGCTATGACCTTTGTTTGTCCTGTTTTTACGTTCGATTTCACGCATAACGCGTGATTCTCGCAGTGAACGGATAATGGTCTATTGGCTGAATGTACTCACCAGTGTGCTGAACTAATTTGGGTATGTAGTCATTCCAGAAGGCACATTCTGCTGCTTTGAGTGCATCGCGAACTTCTAAACCTGGTGATAACTCTTTATACATCAGTCCAGGCACTTTAAAGGAGGGCCACCCACCATTATCTTCATCATCTAGGGCACTTAGATTCGGGTTACTGTAACGCAAAATAGTTAGTTTCAAATGACGTCGCTGATCATTTTATAATCGTTGCATTTCTTTAACCTTTTCACTACCACTCCCCTATTTTCAACACAAATTCACAAAATAGTCCTGTTTATAGTCTGCGTTTTCCTTCAGAAGAATGAAACAAAAATTGCAAAATATTTTTAGTAAAAACTGAAAATTTGCTTGTTATTTATGAACTTAATAATTGTGGTGAAATAATATTATTTGGTTTAACCAATAAACGAAAATGACCGCCGCGAAGTCATTGGAAGCCACGAGACTTGAATTTGTTTTTTCCCCTGCGGACGCGATAAGATAGAATGGAACATTATTTGAGGTGCTTTTCAAACTCTCGCTCTTACCGAGATCTCGGCGGCCATTTG